ACTAAGCAATAAAAAGACAAATACAATAGTCTCACCTGATTCATGGATGTGGAATGCAGTCTAAAATCCCCAGTGGAGGCCTGAAAGCACAGCTAGTACTGAACTATACTATGAATATCTATCTATACATAGTACTATGTCTTTTCCTATACATCCTTACCCATGATAAAATTAAAATATATAACTTAGGCATAGTAAGAGATGAATAACAGTGATAAAAAAATGACAATATACTGTTCACACTTCTACAGATAGATTTGTTCTTACTGTAGATTTTTAGCAACCTCGCCATCCAATTTTTTTCTTTCCTTACCAAATCAAGAATTTTCACTTTTAAGGGAAAGCATATTCCAGCTTCTCTTTGGCATATTAGAATTTCCACTATCAATTGTGCGCTTTGGGGCTAGGTCAAAAAGGATCCTTGAACACAAGCCCTGGGATACCAGGGCAGTAGATCTGATAACCTGAAGTGACTAATGAGTAGGTATATATATAGTATGGATACACTGAACAAAGGGATGATTCTTGCCCTGGGTGTGATGGGGTTGGATGTAAATAGACATTCTCCAAAGTTATAGAAATGGCCAACACAAAAAGGCTTTCAAACTATTAGTCAACAAAGGAAATTCCAATCAAAATCACAAGGAGGTGTTACTTCACACTCAGGAGAATGACTATAATAAAAAAGATAGACAATATAACAAGTGTTATCAAGGATGTGAAAACATCGGAACTCCTGTGCACTGATGGTGGGAATGTAAAACAATGCAGCCATTGTGGAAAACAGTTTGGAAGTTAAAACTTAAATGCAGACTTATCACATGATCCAGTAATTCTACTCTTAGGTGTACACCCAAGACAACAGAAAATATAGGTCCACACAAACCACACAAAAACCAACAACAACAACAGCAAAAAAGCACACATATAAATATTACTCAGAATAGCCAAAAAGTGGGAACAACATAAATGCCCTTCAATTGTAGTACTATTTTGTCATAAAAAGTAATGAAGGATTGATACATGCTACACCATGGCTGGACCTGGAAAATAATGCTAAGTGCAAGAAGGCAAACAGAAAAGACCACATATCAGATAATTTTTTTAAACAAGAAATATCCAAATGCAAATCCATAAAAACAAAAACTATTTTAGGTTTGCAGGGACTGGGGAGAGGTGGAGATGGGAGTTACTACTAATGTGCACGCCCAGTTTCGTTTGAACAAAAGATTCTGCAATTAGATACTGGTTATGGCTTTAGAACTTTGAGAATATATTAAAAACCCACCAAGTTGCACACTTTAAAAAGAGGAATTTATGGTATGTGAATTACATCTCAATAATAAGGAAAAAATCCATTAGAGATTTGTGAAAACCCTTTCTCCTGCATATGCACCCTGGGAAAGGGAGAGAAAATGAGCTGCAATTCGACTTTTATCCTAAATGTGAATGAGGTAATCCAATAACAGGACTTGGTGGAAAAGAGAGAGAGAATTGGAAGGGCCAGGGCTCAGGACCACTGAGAGAGAACTAGGGCATCTCCAGGGGAGCCTGCTTAAGTTGATGCCACAATTTTGAATAAGGCAAACGACTGACAAGCAGCAAACCTGCAGAGTAGTAGTGTCGTGTCATGGAAAAGGCTGTTAAGAGACTGCTCACATGCAATTACAGGAAGAGTTGGCCTAATTTACTGAAGATTCATCTTCCAGTAAATACCTGCCAGGAGTGCTTGCTAAAAGGGCCTAGAGTCTCAAATCTCTCCTTGCCTTTTCGCAGGTATTAGCTGTGAGTGCCAGGGAAAATTTGGTGTGGTGGTAGAAGGGAGGAGTAATGATCAATTCACTTCATTCCAACTCTGAAAAATCAGAGCCCTCCACCCCTGAATTGTTGGAAAGACAGACTGGAAAAGTCTGTCTGTCTAGTAGTCATTTTCTTATTCTGGCATTCATTTAGAATAAAGGGAGTTCACTCTGTTTGATCAACTCCAAAATAAGCATTCACATTCAATCTAGCTGCTTTTGATCATTAACATGTTTCACATGCATCTATGTAGTAACAGATAGTGATAGTTCATTCATCTTCATTGCTACATAGTTTTTTGTTGTATGAATATACCTCCATTTGTTTACTCATTTTCATTTTGATGGGCAGTTGGATCACTTCCTGTTTTAGGCTGTTAATCTTTTGTATTTACTTTATGGTTGTTGTTATGTCCCCATAATTTTTTAATCAGTTACTCATGAAATTAAAATATGCATCCTTGATTTATTACATACCACTTAAAATACTCTTCCCAAAGTATGTAAAAGTCTTAAAATATTTCCATTATACTTCCTTTTTCACCCTTCTTGCTATGTTATGTATTTTGCTTTAATATATTATATTTTCCACAAAGCATTATTATTGCTGTTGTACACTCTTCCCAAAGTATGTAAAAGCCTTAAAATATTTCCATTATACTTCCTTTTTCACCCTTCTTGCTAAGTTATGTATTTTGCTTTAATATATTATATTTTCCACAAAGCATTATTATCGCTGTTGTTTTGAGCAATCAATATTCTCGTTGATTTAACCATGCATTTATATTCTCTGATGCTCTTTATTGATTCCTACAAGCCCATGAAACCCTCACTCTTGTTTCTTGGTATTTGGTTACTTACTAATGAGAGCCTCGGGGAATCTTGAAAATGTTCCATCTGAGTGTTCTGGTGTTTACTGCCAATGTGTTTTAGAAACACTACTTATGGAGGATAGCAGAGAGCACTTGCCCATGCTTTTAGTTCTTTGGTACTTCCTTTTCATTTCAGACCTTGTGTTACACATGCTTGTTCTCCACAAGAGCAGAAACCACCCTACATGTTGAAATATATTATTTACATAATGCATTTTAAGGGCAACAATACCCAATACCTGAGACAGTGAAGAATATCTGTGTCCTAAATTGCTGGAAATGTGATTGTGTTCTCAAGATTTCCTAACATAGAAATCTTCTAAGATAAAGAAAGATTAAATTTGTTTTTATTGAGTGATTTGAGCTTCTACTCAAAATCTTCATGGTCATGCTCAAACCACATTTCCAGTCCCCTTCTTGCCTAGTGTGAAACTACTCCAAGTCTTATTACTTCCTGTTAGTATAACTGTGTCCTCAAGATAGGACTTGATCACCTAGGCACTTAATAAAACTCAGTGGCATAAGATGGCTGTCAACTTTGGAAGTGCATTTTAGCTTGACCCAGTGCTGGTAATCTTTTATGACCAGGTGGGTACCTATCAAATTACACTTCAAGACATTTTAAAAATGGTTTCAATAGCCAAACTATTAAGAAAGGTGACTTGTATGATGATGGGACATATTTATTCTCTTATAACATGCATTGTGTGCATCCTATGTGACAGACACTGAGCTAAAGGGTAGGGTGACAGGAGACTGGCACACAGACTGCCCAAAAGGCACTTTCCAGGTGTGATGTGAAAGAGCCAGGGAATCCAAAGGGAGAGACTGTCTGTACCTGATGCACTGGGTGAGGTTGGCTGCAGAGTGGTTAAAGTCCCTTTAGATGCCTCCATTCAAAGTCCCACTAGTTAGCTCTAACTGCAACGGCAAGCCATCAAATTCCTGCTCCAAATCCTCGCTGTCTTATATGTTTATGACAATACCCTTTTATTTTTCACAGTTTTTAGCACATAGTTCAAATCCTATCAAAATTATTGATTGGTAATTATGGTATATTGTCAAGAATTGAAGATAAAAGGGAAGTGCCCCTCCAAAACTCAAATTTGAAGGACATTAAGATTGTCCTCTGAGAGTGTAACTACATCATCACAACAGAATAGACCAGAGCTGAGATTCTCAGTGTGAAATTACCAGTTGGTTATGAAGTCAATAAAATACACTCATAGAAAGAATGCACACACACACTATGGTAAGGTACAAGCATTCATAAAAGTAGAAATAGTATAATGATCCCCACTTACCTGTCTCAGTGTGGGCAATTATGAACACATCCAGAAAATATTAGCCGAACAAAAGGAAGAATATCTTGTTGAGAAAGGAGTTGAATAAAACAGACCCCCTAAATTCTAGTGCCTCCACTTGAGCAAACTTAGTTTACTATAATCTCATGTTACTAACTTCTGAATTTTAGCCTTTTCAGCTATAAAATAGGAATAAAAACACTCATTACTTTATTCTGTGGGGATTAAAGTATAACCCATGTAAATCTCTTTGTGCAATGTCCAGCAGAAGTCATTTGGTAAATTTTTGATAGCTATCTTCTGGCTGTGAAAAAAAGGAGTCAACAGGCCCACTTACCCATGGGGAATCGGGGAGGGTGTTTGTCAGCACATGTCAAGCATTCTTATCAGATTGGCATGGTTCCTTCTGCTGATACAGGATGCTTCTCTACCTGACACATTTGAACATTCATGGGCTACAAATAACTCCCCTTGTTCAGGTGTTACGTCCTTTGGCCAAATGGAGATGCGGGACATAGCCATTGCTGAGACTGGCATATTGACGTTCTGGACTTCTGCATCAATCTCTGCTCTTCTTAGGTCTTGTAAAAAACGTTTGTAAGCTTAAGGTGTATGAAGATAGGGGCCTGGACGGAAAAGGCAAACCGTGATTTATGGAAAAGGGACAGATCACCATTACAAAGGGGAGGAAGCAAAGTGGGCCCTCTTGGCTTTACCACCTAAATTACTGGCTACATATCCTGTCGGACATGCATTGTAATGATCATTTGGAATATAAACTGCAAAATTTGTTTGTACTGCATGACTGCATTCATGGAAGCCTTTGTGAATTGGCCAAAGTTAGCACCCTGCCTGTCTTGATCAAGGCCACAGGTCAGGGCTCTGGCTTTTTCCTCAAGCACGGAAGGACAAAAGGATTCCGAACGAGTTCGAGCTGGTCGCTGCCGTACAGTTGCGGGGGTGTTCCTGCGTACCTGTCCTGTCCCCGGCGCCCTAACGGTGTGTCTCGCTTCCTTTGCCCGCAGAGACCTCCGGCGCGGACCCCGACACGCGGCGGGCAGCGGCGCGCGGCTTCACCGGCTGCCTCTCGGCAGTGCGCTTCAGCCGCGCAGCTCCCCTGAAGGCAGCGCTGCGCCCCAGCCGCCCTGCGGTGGTCACCGTCCGCGGCCACGTGGTCGCCGCGTCCAGCTGTGCGACGGGGGCTGGGTCTGGCTCCCTGGCTCAGGAACTGGCTCCCCGCCTCGTGGGGGGTGCAGGTGCGTGGACTCTCCGACTGCGGTTGCACTCGCCGCCCGCGGTCTTTCACTCCGCCCGCTGGCCAGGCCTCCCAAGTCATGTTTGCCCTTTCACCTGCGGATGCTCTTGGCCTTTTCCCTTGCCTGTGTCCTTCGTTTCGTGACTATCTGTACTGTTGCGGCTGTCTTTTTCTTTCAGTGCATGTGACCTCCTTTCCACTCGCTCCTTTCTCGTTTTTCCTCCTGTAGGACGTTCTGGACCAACAGATGAGGGCCAGCCCTTAGTTAATGCAGACACAAGGGACTCTGCGGTCATCGGAGGTAACGGGCCGTGCTAGCATAATCTGAAAAGTGTCAGAATCCACGCTGATTAGCAAGGTCAATGGCAGGCCATATGCGTTCCTGATGTTCCATATCTTTTGACCAAATTCATCTCTGGGGACACTCAGTAGAAGGAACTGATGGTTCCTCCGAAATGCATCTTTTAAAGAATAGTTGCCAAACGATCTAGTATTGAGAGGTTTCATCTGAAAATAGCCATGATAATCCTCAATAGATTATATGTTTAAAAAATGAAAGCACATCTTCATGGCTCCTTTCACAAGCCACTGAGTCTGCACATAGTTTTATAAAATGCAATGAAAGCTTCACTTTTATTCTTATTTTTAAATGTTTTGAGTTAATGGACACAGAGGTCCATGACTATTTTGAATTTAAGAAAAAAGCAAATGCATCTTAAATATCTTCTTGACAATATAAACAGTATGTTGCCTGGAGAGCAGAATTTATCCAGGTCTGACTCAAAAAGTGAACATGCAATACTTCCTTCTTATCATTCAAGGAGTGTTTTAATTCTTTTGATTTGATTATTGAAATATGAATCACTTGTGAACTCTGCTTAGTAAGTAGGAAGTAAGCTGTTCAGGTTCATTGCCACTCCAAATAAGGCAATCACTCATGGAGCCAGTGATGCCACTTGATGTCTTGTGCTCATCTGGGCTGTTCACCTGCTCAGGTCAGGTCCATTCATCTCATCTGTATTCATCCAGACACCAGAGACGTGGAAAAGTTTGCATAAATTTTAACGTTCTGACCGAAGCTCTGTAAAAATGTTGGCACTTCCATTCCTATCTCAACTACTTTTGTTTTTGAAATGAATTAGTTATAAGTATATATTTAATAAGAGCTCCATTTTACAAGTTCAAGAACAAACAAAAAGCATAAATATTACTTATAATGCATATCTAAAAGGAATACTTTTGTATTCGAATTTAAATTAAACAATCCTAAACATTTATAATGGGAAAAATGTAACTGCAAAAATTAATATAGTCAATATTTTCAAAATAGTAATCCAAGTCAAAATTATAGTTGGTCCCCTTTTATTAGAAAGAACTAAGATAATAGTCAAATTGATAAGTACAAAAGGACTGGCCTTATGGCTTTATTACTTTTGGCTAAATATCGTTGGCTGGGATTTACAAACTAAGTTGTACCAGTGTTATTCTCCTGAGAAATTCTCCTTGGCTCCTGATAGATGGGATGGAGGATCAGAGTACAGATGGTCTCAGAAACAAGACAAGATGAGCTTACCAGTCCCTGCAGTCACCTGTATCTGCCTTTGGTCTGTGCATGGCTGGTGGTTGATCGGTTATGCAGCTACTGAGTGTGCTAATCCTCAATGTGTTGCTCCATATTGAATTCTCACCCTTTTGTCTAATTGATCACAGACTACACCTGCATGTAAAATACGTGATCCATTTAAAGAATTATCTCAATAGCTGGATTTTTCTGTGTTCTGCATTTTACACTATCATTTTCTACTTTTGCAGACAAATGAAACAATAGGAGAGGAGAAATAGCCTAAAAAATAGTCAAACCTGGTATACCAAAGCTCACAGAGGGTGTTCTACTGAGGGACACATATTGTGGATGGGTAGATAAACAGAGAGAAGTATAGATAGACTAAGAGCAGACATGAACACTTATCAAAACCATATTTACAGTGAGATTGCTGATGGGAAGATCATGGAATGCATCAGACACATTATTCAAATAATCCATCTTTTCAGATAGTAGGTGAAGATAGGAGTTATTTTGAAATCCCATCAAACAAGCCAGAGTTAAAAGCAACTGATCACATACATAAATGTCTGTATGTGTTGGGTGGGTCAGTGTATTGGTGACAGTAATTTTTATCATCAAGTGGCCTGGTCACTTACTGAGATTTGTCAGTCATTGGCTTTGTAGTTAGATATGATAGTTCTCTTTAAAACAAAGTCCTATCACTAAACATAAAAATAACTAAAGCAGCTCTACTGTTCGTTATCAAATGAGATGCAAAATATTTAGAAAATGATGAATATCTATAAATATTCATAAAATAATGAATATGCTCCCTCCTCTTAGCCATATGCTCTGGAATCCCTATAACCAGTGACACCTAACAAAGCTTTGAGTTTGGTTGGCTCTGTTACAGTTGTTTATGTCCATCCCAGAGTATAGTGTAGAACCCTCATTTTACAATTCAAATTTTATTCACAGAACTAGACAGGCAGTAACGTGTTATCTAATATTTGCTAATATTAACTAATGCCTGTGCCAGTCATCTTAAAAGCATACAAAGTAGTGAATGCTTCTTTTTACATATTCAGTGTAGATTTGATGGTCATTCTTCACTAATATGACAGTCTGAGTAAACCTTTCTTTTGCATATCCTGGTGGTTCTCAACCTTTGCAGCACACTAAGATCATCTGAGGAGCTTTCAAAAAAATACTGGCTGGGCATGGTGGCTCAGCCTGTAATCCCAGCACTTTAGGAAGTCGAGGCAAGAGGATTGCCTGAGCCCGGGCAACTTGGGCTACAATAAATCACAAAAACTAACCGGACATGATGGCCTGTGTCTGTAGTTCTAGCTACTTGGAAGGCTGAGGCAGAAAGTTCGCTTAGGCCCAGCAGTTTGAGGCTCCAGTGGCCATGAGCGTGCCACTGCACTCTATCCTGGGTGACAAAATGTGAGACTACCCCCAACTCAAAAAAAAAAAAAAATACTGATATCCAGGCCTTCCACCCAAAGATTCTGAATTTATAGCCATGGTCGAGAACCACTGGCATAGTTAATGTTTTCAATATTTAAAACATTTCATCAGGAAATTTTAAATAATCAATTTTCTATAGAACTAAATGTTATTTCTATAATTTTTAATAATATGGAAATTGATTATATATTACTGCATGACACATTATCATACACTAAACAGCTTAACACAGCCCACATTTATCATCTTTCAGCTTTGATGTGTCAAGAGTTTGGACATAGCCCATTTGAGTGTCAGCCAGAGCTGAGGTTTCTTCTGGAGCTTCCACTGGGGAAGAATCGACTTCCTTGTTCACATGGCTATTGGCAGCAATTTGTGTCTTGCAGTAGGACTTTGGAGAGTGTCTGGGTTTTGCTGGCTGCTGTATAGTCTGCCTTCTGCACCCAGAGGTGCCCACAGGTCTTTGCCATGTGGGATTTCCAAACATGGCCTGCACCCTCCCAGCCACAGAGACAGACTCAATCAAGACAGTTACTTTGATCTTATGTAACATAAGCACCTCATCATGCATACTTAATCAGGTGCAGATTAGTTGTGCTGTCCCAGGCCCCACCCACAGCAAAGGGAAGGGGTCACACAAGGGCATGAACTCAGGAGGCAGCATCACTTAAGAGTCTGTTGGTCTCATAGGACCTACATATGTATACAGATTACATTACTGCAATTTGACAATATATAGCATCCAAGTAAAAATTTCATGAAAACACTTATACAAGAACATTTAATTACTCTAGATTGGCTGTGTACTCTATACTTTTAAAATAATTAAAATTTAATTGATCATTAACATGAAGTGTGAACATGGCTTAAGAAGTCACATTGTGTTGTGTTTTGGCAGATAAGTATGGTGGCATTACTGAAATCCGATTTATGATCATGCTTTTAAAATAAAGGCACACGACAACTGTATGTAGGGATTTAGAAGTGAACTTAATGTTATATAATATTACGTGACATTAAAATTTATGATGAGATACATATGATTAAAATCATGCTAGGAGAGATTATGGTTAGGTTGGCATTTACTATTTATATTCTGATTTGTATTTTTCTTTCTTTTCTCTCACTAGGTGTGATAGCAGTTGTGATACTTATCTTGCTCTGCGTCACCACCATAGCTATACGCATTTATCAACAGAGGTGGTTTTATAAAAAAAAAGAGTCAAATATCTCAAAAAATGGAGACAATGCTGAGATTGCTCTGAAAAGTGTGATCAATATGCAGAATACAGTAAATGAAAGTCAGAAGGAGTATTTCTTCTGATAGGCAGCTGTGGTTTAATGTGACTTTCTCGCTAAGCCAGGGGTTCTCTGTGGATGAAAACCCTGTTCTTGTTCTCCTAGTCCAGGCAGCTGAGTGTGCAGCACCTTCAACTTGTCCATGGCAAGCCTCAGACATGATGCCAGGAGGCTCAGCTCAGGGCCCCCTTTGTGATCTGTTTATGTAGCAATGACTTAGGTGTGGTCATCACTCACTGCTAGGCACTTTCTGACTGTTCTGACTTGATCTTCTAAAATTAAAATGTGCTCTGCATATTTTTAAATGTGAACATGGATTTGAGCTGTGGCCCTACTCGCTTAAAAATGTGACACCAAAGTTTGTAAAATTCAAAACTGGGCTCTAGTGTTTTCTGTTGCTTGGAAACCCACGTTGTGGTCCCTTTCTGGATCACCTGCTGATATTTGTAGAAGAGGACATGCTTCTCAAATGGCTTTCAGATGGGTTTCCATCTCCCTGTATACCAGAGCCCAATAACCAAAAATACATTAGATATCTGGGGGAAAAATTTTAATCTGTCTTTTAAATCAGTCTGTATACATGTTAATGATTAAATAAGTATTGAATGTCAGCAATGAAATTGTAGTATTGGATTCAGTCATGGAAAAAAAAATGCCTAGGTAATAAAATGTGTAGAGGATTACAATATGTGATTATTTGCATAATTTTCTTTGTAATTATAATAACGATCTCACAAAACTGCAATTTCTTTTTTTTTTTTTTTGAGTTGGAGTCTCACTCTGTCACCCAGACTGGAGTGCAGTGGCACGCTCCCGGCCACTGCAGCCTCGCCCTGCTGGGCTCTGGCAATTCTTCCGCCTCAGCCTTCCAAGTGGCCAGAACTACAGGTGTGTGCTACCATGCCCGGCTAATTTTTGATTATTGTAGAGATGAGGTCCTACCCAGGCGGATCTCAAACCCACAGGCTCAGACAATCCACTCGCCTCTGCCTCCTAAACTGCTGGGATTACAGGCTGAGTCACCGAGCCCGGCCTGCAATTTCTAACTAAACTTGTGCTCAGATACAGACACTACACTTGATACTTGCAAATGTGTCCCTTCTTATATATCTAAATGAAGCATAATCCTAAATTTATGTCCCTTAAATATGGGGCCATTAGGTTAGTTTTTCTTTGTAGTCCTGGGAATCTTTTTTACTAAAGGTTGTCACAACAATTTTATATCATCTGATTATATTTTTATTTATTAGGGGATAAGTTACATTTTGAATCAAAACTCTTCATTTCCCTTTCTAAATTTTGAAGTGACTTAGGCAAATATTTTCCTCCCTGAGTTACCATTTCATCTAGTTACTTTTTGGAATATCAGCGAAGGATGCTTATGCTCAGGAAAGATGCAGGCCATAGGATCTGAACTAAACTTGCCATTCTAGTTAACGATTCTTGGATTTTGGGTCAGTTTCCAACGGAACATCCAAAATGCACAAACTCATTTCATATTAGGGTATATTTGTATACTAGGAGAGCAAAGATTCTATAATTACTGCAATTGTTCCTGTGACTACTTTTGTGGTAATTGTCATTAGATAGTTGCATGAAGCCACCATTTGCATTCAACAACAAGTAGGTGCCATGTCCTTTATATACCACCTGCTGGTTGGCCAGGTATAATTAGATTACTTGCTTTGTTCACCACAGAACATCTTGTACTATATACATTTAACCTTGGTATCACCTTTAAGTATACACTTATTTTACAGCATTCTTTCTAAAGAATGGAAAAAGATATCCTCTTAATGAAGCATCTTCTCAATAAACTATCTTATGGTTTTATATTAGTTTTGTATGAAATGTAACAAATTACTACAAATATAGAGGTGTAATATCATACACATCCATTCTCTAACAGTTTTCATGGGTCAGGAGCAGGGCATGGGTTCACTGGGAGGCTGTGATCATAGGAGCCACTTTAAATTTCACCCTCCATAGTACATCTATATTGACGTTTCTTTAAATGAATGCAGAAGGATTTTAAGGAATACAATAGTTATATATGAAAGCCCTTCTTTGGTGAATGATGTACATACTCTCCCTTCAAGGACCCATGCAGGTTCAAGAAGGATTTAACATAAAAATGGTAGGCTCAACTTAATGCATAGCACATTAAGAAATCACTACAACTTTAACAAGTAATCATCTTATATTCCAAAAGAATTCATCACTTTGGTAGCTCCAGTTTTACAGATGTATAGATAATTACACTGCTCACTGATCTCTGCTACTGAAAACAAAATAGTTGCACCAAATTGTAGTACTCTTACTGATTTGTAAACTTTGCCTACTTATTTGTTAATAAAATAACATTTTTGAATTAAATTAGATGTTTTAAAGAAAACTGAATAACATTTAATGTATGAAATTATATTGTTTTTCCCTAAAATATTAGAAAATGTGCATCTACTTACATTCTGTAATGATGTGTATATTACTTTGTCTCTACTATATATAAATAACTGTTTAGCATTTTTCATGATGTCACTTAAATGATCAAACATAATGTGAAGGAAAAAAGTAGATAAATATTTACTGATTATTGCAAGTTAAAATACCTATGAGTGTATGGATTTAAACCATTTGTACAGAACAATAATTTAACAATTAGTAAAGTACCTTTTGATTATTTATCATATACTCAGAGCATGATTTCATCCCAGAGATCTGGGTTACTAAACACAAATTAAATGTACAGATTCCAGTTGCAAATAGCAGGCTTCTGTGAAATAAGGACACTAATTTACCAACTTGGAAGTAGAAAAGAAAAATAACATGTAATCAGCACTCTTTGTAGGGACTAAAACTCAGGAACTTTTCTTTACTCCACCTCAAAATAAGCCTTCCCAATTTTATTTAGCAGCAGAAAAACATATTGGGGTATTTCTATTCAGTTTGTTTAGAATAAACACTACTACTGAAACCTTTTTATAAAACATTCTTTTCTATAGTACATTTAATGGATAATTGGTTTCAGTGGATTTTAAAAAATAAAACATTGAGTTTGTGGTCCTTGCCTTGAAAGAAGACAAATATGATTGGAGCACTTTTCATCTTGTGTAAAGTAGTTCTGACTATCCAAGCAGATTATCAAAATATTCTTCAAACACGGGGGATGAGCACCCATGTTAAATGAAAACATATTTATTTGCTTGCTTAATCTATTGTTTTGCAATCCATGTAATAAAATGCGTGAGTTTCTTGGTACCGTCAATAGATCCTGGATCTCTTTCCCTTTCCCAAAGTCTGGCTCTTGATGAGTGACCACATGAAAGAAAGAGTAAGGAAGAAGTGGTAGGCATGAGATGTTTTGCCTACAAAGTGGTTGGGGAAGTGGATTGTTTGTGTATTTGTGCTGACGGTTACCCTGGAGCCCATGGGCACATTGACACATTTTGGGACATCAATAGCTATAGTGGAGATTGAAAATAGCTTATCACTTCTGCTGAGTATTATTGATGACAGATCTCTGGGCTACCTAAACACAAAAAATAGTGATATTCCTATTTACCATTAAAGGATAAAAGTGTTTATAAACACTTTTGCAAATTTACATTCAGAGAACTTAATTATAGCTGATAATTAATTACAGAGAAAGTGTTTGATTTTTTAAAAAAATAATTCTTATTCTCATAACCATAGAGTTCTTTTGTTGACAGAGGCATTAAATACCATGTCATCTAATCCATTCTTCTCCCTTCACAGGATTTCTGTGAAATTCCAAGTTGCTTCATCTTGAATAACACAGTTATATTAATAAAGTCAGGTTTCTGGGGCTTTTGTTAATGCTACTCAAGTTCTCGTGTTGTATGGGTGATATTTTAGAAAGATATTTCTGTGTTACAAGGACTTATAATAGAATTAGTCACATTACAAGTAAAATATACTAAAGTGCTGCTTCCTTGAAACTCTTGTTTAAAATCACTAATAATGTGATAAATTTGCCATACTTTGATATGAACAGAAATGATATGTGTATTTTATTGTATCATTATTTGTATTAAAATGATGAGACACCAAATTCACAGTCTATCATTTACTTTGCAGATAAAAATGTCCCTAAGGTCTAAATTTGCTTTTATTTGAAAAATGAAATTTTATAATCTACTTAAAATTGATAAAATTTATTGAAATAGAATCTCTGTAACTGCATCAATAATAGCTCATTTTCATTCTTAAAACAAACCAATGAGGTAAGACACATATGGTCATCCCCTCTTTTTACAGGTCATTAACTATGACACAAAGGCCTTCATTGTTTTGATGATGAAGACAGATAATTAATTCCTGAGAGACTACAGTAGAGTGCAGGTCTAGTACACACACACACACACACACACACACACACACACACACACACACACACACACAGAACTTTCTACCTACTGGTGCAAGATTCATGCTGCGAATACCTCCCAGGATCTTTATATAGTCAAATACTACTTTTGCTTTCTTTAATTCGCAATATGCTAGGCACATATCTCTATTAACTAGGATTTTATAAATATTTAAATACATTCACAATGAATAAAAATTAGTAAATTTTATACATTTTGGTAACAATTTTAATGTCAGTTTCTCTTAAATTTTTTAGTCTCAAAAACAGAAAACACTCAAATTATAAAAATGATTCCAAAAATTCTTGTAACATTTATACCCAGCCTGGTAGAAAATCACTGATTATGTGGTATAGATTAATTTTTATTGTTTTAAATGTTTCTACTTTGCTGATGCTAAAGGAGCACTTATGCTTATTCATTCTAGGGAATTTAGAAACTTGCCTTGGCCAGAATAAAAAGAACATCCTCTCAGGCCAGCCAGACTGCAAACTTTTATTTGCTGACCAAGAGTTTTTGGATGGGATAGGCACTAGATACGTCTCCCACAGTGGCTGGAACATGGCAGTTTTATGCATCATTTAATCTTCACAAGAACGTAATTTGTTGGAAACCTGAACTTGAAAAAAATTTTTAT